AATAGGCCAATGCTACAAATCAGAACTTCAGATAACTGCTTGTTAAACATTTACCAGCATATCGTTATACAGGGCACCTTGAAGGAAGGCTGTCTGACATTCCTTAACAGGGGGTATGGAAATGCCAAAGCAACCCGGACAGTTTCACCCTAGATCATGCCCCTGGGCTCTGGAAGTCTTCTGGAAGGACCTGATTGAAACGAAGATTCTTCACTTCAGAACAGTCGTTCTTAGCCATCTGTGTATCAAAATAATGTATGGGGATTTAGAAACCACTAGGTATGTGGAAGGGGGGCGGAGGAGGGGAAGGAGGTGCTGGTGGTATGGTGTAGTGGGTTAAGAGTTGGGAATGATTACAGTCTCAGAAACCCATGGGGGCAGTTTTACTCGGTCCTTTAGAAGTGCCGTTTGTCAGAATTGATTCCACCCTAATCCTAGATCATTGAAATCAGAAGGTCTGGGGATGGGGCATACAGTTTTTTGAAAAAGGTGCTCAGGTGATTCTAATGTGCATCTAGGCTGTGAACCACTACCTTAAAGTGATATTCTGCCTTGCCTCCAAGTTGGTTGGTTGTGCCCAGTTAGCCTTTTCCTAGACTCGGGAACTATCTTCTTGTGCCCTTTCCTCTTCCAGGCCCTTGGAATCCCACCATTTTCCCGGATGCTGGTTACCTCAAGGGCCAATCCTCTCCCTAATTGACAGCCCCAAACTCGGTGCCGTCGAGCTCCCAGAGTCCCCTGGGAAGAAGATAGGGCTGGAACATGTTAAATTAATCCCAACTCTGCTTTCTGATAGTGAGCACATGTATCAAATACCACTGTCCTTCTGGTGGTTTCCACTTGAAAATGGCCTGGGCATATATAGCGAGAGTTTTCACTCTGCTTATTTGGTCTTAGTGAAGCGAACATGAGGGAGTGTTCAAATATCTTTCTCCAAGAGACAGCAGTCTGGGACTGAGACATCACCACACCATTACCATACCCCATTACCACAGAAGCACATCAGGGGGAGCAGAAACCATCAACGGAATGTGCCAAGGGATCTCTTAAGAACCAATGTGTCTGCTAGTCCTGTGTTTGAGCTTTATTGCTCTAGTGCTTTCTGTAGGGACAAGCACTACATTAGGCGCCAGGATCATTAAAATTCTATTTCAAATAAAAAGTTGCTTTTGAAGGTTTCTAAGAAAACCGATCCATCCTCTCTGCTTGCCTGCCTTGGATTTGATGTTTACTCCTGCTGACAATGAGCACATCTTGTGTTCCTTTTGCACGCTGCCTTTGGCCCATGTGCTGGGGCCAAGTTGGCTCGCAGGGGTGGTAGAAGAGAGGTCCCTGATGTGCTGTGCTGAACCAGCTGAGGAGGGGCTTCACCCACTCTGTGCACAGTACTTCGGCTCCATGCTGTTTCATTACTGACACGGGGGCTATAATAGGGATAAGAAATAAGACAGGAAGGCTAAGTGAAGTCAGACAGGTAAGTCGATCAGCCAATTAGTCACTTAGTCTCCAGTCAGTAATTCTGTCCATTAACCAGTCAGGTAGCTGACCAGTTAGAATGGCGGGTGGTTAGGCATTCTGCCTGTCCTGCAGCCAGCTGGTTCTGGGCCAGTCTGCCCTTTAGCTAGTCAGTCTCACTCTGTCCGTCAGTCAGTGAGTCATTTGGTCAAATGAGTCCCTCAAATGAGTGCCTCAGACCTGTCGGCCGATGCCATGCTACATAGAAGCTCTCTCCAACTTCTGAATCCAAATTAGCCACTCGTGTATCTGTTCACACCCACCTGCTCCAGGACATTCTGTGTTCTGATAGTTCTCTGTGCTTTTCCCCATATCCTGGCTTGTGGTCAGTCATGCTCACTTGCATGGTTATTTGGCTTCTTTCCATTGCCTGCAGGAGTGTCAGCTCCTTAAGCGCAGGAGCTGTGTTGACCTTGTTCGAAGATACCAAGGCAGAAACTGTGAATTCTTTAGCCAGTTTGGAGCTACTCACGGGGTGGACAAAGCGGGGAGCAGGAGCATCTCAGCCAGAGCGATTGGCATAGGTAAAGGTGGGAGAGAACATAGCTGGTGAAGTGTAAGGGGAGGAGCTCGGAGCCCCTGGTGGCTCAGTGGGTTGCACTTTAGATTGCTAGCCACAAGGTCAACCATTAGAAACCACCAGCCGCTCTGGGAGAAAGAAGTGGCTTTCTGCTCGTGCTACAGACCCACGGGGGCCGTTCTACTCTAGGGATCAGGATCAACTCAGTGGCTATGACTCCGGTTTATAGGTTTGAACATGAGGAGCAGTGGTAGCAGGAGGGCACACGTCAAAGGAGATGGGTTGGAAAGTGTAGACTGTTCCCAGGTCCCCCAAGGACACTGCAAGCCCTTTTAAGACCTGTGGGTATTGATTTTAGTTTTATGCTTGTGACTTTGTGACTTAGGAGACCCCATGTGTTAGGGTGTAGAACTGCTCTGTCAGGGTTTCTGGGCTGTGGTTTGTGCCAAAGAAGATGACCAGGCCTATTTCTCTTGCACTGTCGCTGGCTGGGACCAACTTTGGGGTTACCAGCTGAGTGCCAAACTGTATGTACCACCCAGGGGCCTGCACTGTATTCCAGACTATGGGTGATGAGCTATTGCAGATTTTAAGTGGCAGAAGAGCTGTGTTTTAGAAAGAACTGTCAGACAGCAGTGTAGGCAACAGTGACATGGGTAGCAGGTGGAGGCAGGAGACCCATCAGGAGGCCACAAGGGTCCCTTAGGCTAGTGTGTCCCAACCTCTTCCATATCTAGAGACAATGACACAATTTGTACGGACCATCAGAATAAAGGCGTGAGGCTTCTTGTGGCCATAGGACCCAAGTGGCTGAAAGACTCAGTATCTCAGCACACTTGTAACCCACTCACATACCTCGACAAGAACAGCTCTTGGGGGGAGATAATGAGGGATTGAAAGGAAGCAGTGGCATAAAGGATGGCTCTGATGTCCATTAATGCGCCTAGCTAATCCCAGGCCTGCATATTCATGGCGGTTGCAGCTAACTGCATGCAAGCCCTTGTATGTCTTTCTGGTATTGGTGACAAAGGGATAAGGCAGCAAAGCTATTTTATTCTCTCCCCATTTCACCCCCCTTCTGTCTTTACTTTGCTGCATAAGAGATTGGCTCTTGTTGCTGGGAGTCTTGTCCATTTGGTTGGAAGTACAAACATCCCATTTGCCACTTTTTGTCTTGACCCCAAAGTCCCATCTCAGCCGTGGCCCTTTTCTCACGGGAGAAAAGAGCACAGAACTAGGTAGTCCCTTTTTTTTCCTGCTCAGACTGCATGGATTGCACAGGAGCACCATGACCTTGTGTGCATTCTCATTTGGTATCGTATCACTATCCAGGAAGTCAAGTTAGTGTTCCATCCAACACAAGATTGTGTTCTAGAGTTATAACACGGCTGGCATGTGTCCTGAGCTAGGAAGAGCATTCAGGAGGGCAGTAGTCGGGAAATGCTGATCTTGAAATCCCCAGCACAGAGATAAACGTTGGCATTCAGAGGATTGTTGCTCATTTGTGGGGAGGGGGGCAGATCTCACTAAGGATAGGTTGCATCATTGACTCATGTAACTGCTGTTTAATAAGTTGGACACTTATAAACAGTAGGGTTGGCGAACGTGGTGTGATAGAAAGATTTACAACAAAGACAAAAGGGAAAAGAGTAGCGGCTGAGCTGTTTATGTACAACCATGCACCTCTTGGGTTCCTTGCTTTGGAGGTTTAAGGTCATGGCTTCATGGTACATCTTAGCTAATTGGCCTAAGAACGTGTACTTCTGTTCTACCTCCTAGTTTATGATGTAGTGCCAGGGGAGAAAAACAGGGCTTTCTACTCCTATATACCAGTCTCAGAAACTCACAGGGGCAGTTTTACCCCGCCCTATAGGGTCTCTGGGAGTCAGAATTGACTTAATGGAAGTGAGTTTGGTTTTGGGTTTTGGGTTCTTAAAAGTTTGCAAGGGGCTATCAAAGGGACAATTGGTCTCTCTTCACCTGGAGCAACAGGGGGAGAAGGAGAGTCAGGAACAGGAGGAGGGTTTCCAATATGTGGGACGATTTACCATCATGAACAATAAGACCTGGAAAAAGGTCACAGTGGCATTTTGAACAATGATTCTATGGAAGATTTCTAATCAAAGCAGGAGGATACAGAACAAAATTTCATATTCTCATGGACTGCAGTCTTCCATGAGGACTGGCTGAACCCTCTTAGCTATTACCCTGAGATATTATTCAAATTTAAACCAAAAATATGCCCAGCAGTCTTCTTTAAAACCAAAGGATCAGATCACTTATCTTCCTAGTAAAGAATGTCTGCTTTGAGCACAGTGCTTTTAAAAACTCTGTCTACATCAGATCAAATTGACAACAGCAACTAAAAAGATTAGATCAGAAGCTTAGAGGGCAGTAAATTTATGTTCATGAGAAAGGAACAACTTATAACAAAATAGAATAGTTGCCAAAGTCTTAGGAATGCCAGCAGGGTCACCAAAATGCACATGCAGAACTGGTTGATGGAGTGGGTGTGTCTTGCTCTGTGTGTGTTCTCAACAACAGAATTAAAACTTTTTCAAAAAAGAATGCCCTAGCTGTTCCTTCATCTAGCCTTAACTTCCACACCAACGCTCTTCTCTGGCCTGCACATCTGGCTGAACTCTTACAAAGACAAATACAGCCCCACAGCGGTCACAAGATGTTATCATTTGATATCATTGTACTTGTTGTCAGTAATGGTGGCTCATTAAATATGTAATGAAAGTCTGATTTAATTTTTAGACCTGACTAATTGTTTACTATAAATAAATGCACAAATCCAAAGAAATCACTTTTCAAGCCATGTGCCTCACCCTTTGGTTCAGGAAGTATGGTTTCCATAACTACGCAAGTAATCTTTGCGTCACTACAATCCTCCTGGAAACTTGCCTGCCTTTCTCCCTATCCCTCTTGTGTCCTCATGTCTCTTCCCATCTCTTCTCAGCCGCTGGTGCTGTTGATGGAGTGGCCAGAAGCCACCAACTTTGCCTGCCTGATTGCAGGGTACTGCCGCCTCCTGCTGGATTCCAGGAAGATGGTCTTCTCCAGGCCTGCTAGCCAGCCCGTTCCACCTCCAATGATCAAGGCAGGTAGGGCTCAGCCTCGGTTTTCAGTGTACCAGAGGCCCTTTGGGGCCTGGAGAGGGGGGGGGAGGTGCTCCACAGCTTTAACGCTCACCCATTCTGACAGTTTACCACTGTTCCCCACGTAGCCCAGCCCGGTGGAAAAGACATCTGACCTTCAGGCATGCCTGTTCCACAAAGGATGACCATGGCAAACACCTTGGGATTGAGTCAGTGAATGAGTGTAAGATAAAAATAGCAATTGATAAAGCCAGTGAAATAATTGCCTAGGATCAAAGGCAATGCTTTTGAGGCAGAGATTCTGGGGAGATTCATGGCTTAGCTGAGTAGAGTTGAAAACAGAACATTCCAGTCTTTTGGACAGAGCTGCCTGGAATAAGAGGCCATGAAAGGGTTAGGAAAGGCTTTGCAGAGCTAGCTTACAGCCTCGCAGGAGGTGCCCTGATAAGAGGGGACTATCTAAAAGAACAGCTCAGCTGCAGCTCCCTCCCCCTCCGCCCCTCACCAGCCAAACAGAAGGCTTTCCCATGATGCAACTCAATGGAGCCACCCCGCCCAGCCCTTTTCTTAGTGATAGCATCAAAAGGGATCCTAGGACAATTAGTCCATCCCAGGCACTGCAGCTGGAACTGAATGGGAAGAGGAGGAGCAAGTGCTCAAATCTTAGCCCTAAGGTGCTTGTATATGCATTAAGTACTGACCCCTTGCCAGCACCCCAGCAGGAGCAGTGAAGGTGAGAGGGACTGCCTCATAATCACTCTTCTCACTGAAAACCTCCAATCCACTTGCCCTTGCTGCTTGACTATGGTCATCTCTTGGCAAGACTACCTTAGGAGTCAGCAGCACGCCATCTCTTCTAGGCTGAGGTATTTGAGAACAGAAACACACTCCTAATAGATAATCCAACACTTTCTCTCACCTCATCACCTCTTCCTTTTGAACACCTCTGTGACAAACCCATGTGTCACAGAACACCATCTGCAGAAATGTAAAAGTATTCTACATGTATTCAGAAGCAGCTAAGTGATATAGGATGGAGGCTACACATAGAGCTGTAAAGAAATGAACTTGGAAGAGGCCAGGCATGGGTGGGTGGGTGAGATATCAGTGAGTAGTTCTGAGATAGGCAGCTGGACTATGGAACCTAAGAATGGTCACATGCAAAGCCGGCATTAGTATTATCATTGTCTCCTGTGATTGGGTTGTCTCCCTCTGGTCACATCCAAGTAAAAGATACTTGGGAAAGGGGAAGGTAGAAGGAAGATCCTAGAGCCCAGCCAAGAACCAAATGTAGGTGTAAGGGTTATTTGGGGAGATCTTCTGTCAAAACCCACCAGAGATGACGCTACATTCCCCCCTAATGCCTAAGAAACGGTTTCTGTCTTCCCTTTTCACTAGATGGTGCAGTCCCCTAGATATTACCCTGGACAGTGGGGACAATGGCACTGAGTGAGGGACACGGGTTTAAAACTCAGCTTTCCTGAATACATCTTCTTTTGTTTTCCTGTCGCTTTTTCGGAAGGAATATTGATTTCACAAGATTCTCGTTTGGGTGTTGCAAATTGAAACGAGGCTTCTATCTATGCTAAGCATGTCTTTAGAAACCCCTTCCTGATTCCTGCGAGTCCCCTGGGGCCTGCAGATTAATGGGGTCTTGGACTGCCTTTAGCCCACGGCATCTATGTCAATGCAGGACCCAGATGGACGGACCACCGTGTTGTCTCTGCTCTTTGTCACGTTACCCCCATTGCTGTGTTAACAGTCAGCTCAGGAGTTAAAGGGGCAGGAGAAAGCCTCTGCTAGTTCCTTCCGCATTCTCTTTTGGAAAGGGCATGAACTTGAGCTTGGCATCATCTCCTCTGGAACATGGTTAGATGCCTGAGCCCAATTTCTTGGCCCTTTGGACTGCTGGCTACTGGGCTGACAGCGGCCACCAAATCATCTCCATGGGTGGGGTGGGGTGAGCCTCAGCATTCTGCCTGAGGTCACTTAGCTGCCACCGCAGGAGCAGCAGCAGTAGCAGAACTCAAAGGCTGACTTGCCCATCTCATCTCATCTCATCTCATGGCTCCTGGAAGGGAAAGGCGGAGAGCAAGCAGCACCACCGAGGGGACCACAGCTGAGGTTACAATGAGGGGCTACATTTGTTACTAATCTTGTAGACCCCTGGGGGCATACTGGGTTATGTGTTAGACTGCTATAACCACAAGGTCAACCGTCAGGAAACCACCAGCCACTCCTCAGGAGAAAGATGATGCTTTCTACACCTATAAAGAGTTACAGTCTTAGAAATCCAAAGAGGCAGTTCTACCCTCCCCTGTAGGGCCATTATGAATCAGAATTGACTCAGTGGCAATGAGTTTCGTTTTGAGTCTCCTTCCACCTGTCCTCACTTTCAACTCAGACCAGAAGTCCCATTGTCAACTCTTTTTGTTTAGCAAAGACCTGCAGGGAACAGGCATCTTTCTGAGACCGTAACTCCAGCCTACTCAGGGCCTGGTCTCTGTAGAAAGAGGTGGAAGGGATGTATCTCGACTGGCTGCATATTTTTGCCCCATAGTAGCTGCCTGCTGCCAGCTAGCACAACTTAGTGCACAACTGCTGGGCCTAAAAGGATATTATTAAACCAACATCTCAGAAAGAGAACAGAGCACTTCCTCTTCAAGGCCCTGGAAAAGGGAAGTGGGGGAGTGGTAGGGAAGGACTTTAGCAGTAGCTTCACCAAAGTAGCATATATATAATTTACTCAAGAAATCTCAAGTATCTATTCATGGCTCCATCCTTAGTCTATGGCACATAATAACAGACTTATACTCACATACCTTCCAATCCAGTGGAGAAATTCAGATAGATGATTAAAGAGAGAATGCTACTCAATTATCACCTTTGTGTTTACATGGGGAAGGTGTGTTAGTCTGGGTTGACAAGAGAAACAAATCTAGAGGCACTCAAATATGTATAAGAAAGAACTTAATATCAAAGAATAATTATATATTTTAAAAAATCCCAGCCCAGTCCAGATCAAGTCTGTAAGTCCGATATTAGCCCATATGTCTGATACCAGTCTCTAAATTCATCAGACTCGTGCAGCCATGCAATAATGCTGAATGCATGAAGATCACAGGCCAGTGGGTGGAAAGTCTTGTGGATCCAGTGGCAGTGGAAACTTCTCCAGCTGGCGTGGATCTCCATGTGGCTCCTTCAGCTCCAGGGCCCTGGCTACTATCAGCTTAGCTCCATGTGGCTTGTCAACAGGAATGTCTCCCAGGGAGAGTAAGCAGAGAGAATGTGTATGTGTGTCCTGCCTCCAGCGAGCTATTTATCTCCTTAGCTCTTCTAGTTAATGTTAATGTTAATGGCTACTGTATATTACCCTTTTTTTTTGGTAAATGTATCCAGAGTACTAAAGTGGGCCTGAACATAACTGGCTCTTTGGTTGATAAGTCAGAAATGACCTGAGGTTCTAACAAAGTCTCTAGGTGTCCATGAGGTCCAGGAACACCCACTCGGACTGTAGAAAATAGCAGGGCTAAGTCCTGGGAGCGTTGACATGTTAACTATTCATGTGAATTGCATACAGTTTGTGACGAAATGCCATGATCTTTGTTTTTCCATGAGCTTTTAGAAGTCGTGTGTGTGTGTGTGTGTGTGTGAGAGAGAGAGAGAGAGAGAGAGAGAGAGAACTTCAGCTGGGCACCATCCTATTCTTTGTAAGCATTTTATTTCAAGTCAGTTGTCTGAGTGGCTGAGTACAGAGGGATACACCAGGGCATTCCCGTTGGGGAAAGCTGCTGAGCAATTTCCAACAGATTTCCAATCTGGGAAGCACACTGTCCCAGCCATCAGCTGAGTGCACCTGGCTTTACTGGCACTTCTCACCTTCTGCCTGGAGGATATCTGGGCTTTGTTTTCTTTTCTAGACAGCCTTGTGCTGCTCTGGAAATCCCAACAAGCAGTGGGCTGTGCAGCACCTGCCCTGGGAGATGCTTTCATCTTGTGGGGGAGGGAAGCTGCCTTTAGACCTCTAGCCCTTGTGTAAGAAGAGTCGCCACCTGCTTATTGGACATGCTCCTGAGTGCCAGCTCTGATGAAGGCCTATTGCTAGGCTAGTGACCCGAATTTCCAGCCATTGCTCAGGTAGTCAGCACCTGCGGCCTTGGGAATCAAGAAAACCCAAGCCCTAGGGCAGGCTGGATGAACAATCTGGAGGAGAAAACAACGGGACTGACAGTTCCGGGGGGACATGGGAGAGGGGGA